TTTGGGCAGGTGCCACATTAGGCATTTACGCAGTTACGGTGACAGAAGCGTCACCGTGACACTTTGGAGGAGGCCAGGCCTCTGCCGGATACCAGTTGCCGGGTGAGAGACGACTTTTTGTGAATCAACGGCAAGAAACTACCGGACTCGCCTCGCTGATTTCTCAGCCTAAGGAGAACAACCCCCAGAGTCAGCAACCCCCTCAAGCCAAAAGGGCCGCACACTCGTCCTTGGCACGCGGTATTCCGCTCACCTGAGTCCTGACAGCGGGATGCTGGTGTGTTCCACACATGGCCAGCAGGGGATCAGCTCGCTGCAGCTACGGTTGACGCAAACACCCACAATCATGGGGCGTTCTCCGTCCTACTGGGCCAAGCTAGGCTCAACCCCCGTTTAACTGGCTGTTTGCCCCTGTTAAGCACCCCTCGGTGTTAAAGTGAACGAGTGACATAAACGCAGTCTCCAGCCATCCAAGTGTTGTAACCGCTTGCAGCAACTCAAACAGCTGGGCCGGGCAGACCCACTGTTGCAGCTTGGGCACACCCACCCTGGCACAGAGGACTTTAGACAGCTACCACCGGCAAGCCCCAACAGGTCCTGGCTGTAAAGTAGGATCCCTCCTGGAAAGTAGTCAGTACACCCGCTAAGGTACAACAGCTTCCGCTCTATGTAGACTGGGAAAGACGCACAGAGACCTAGCCAACCTTACACAGCAAATTGGTCACAGAGCCAAGACACGAACCCCACTCTCTTGACGCCCAGGTTGGCGCCTTCTCCACTAGGCCACACTGCCTCTGTATTGAGATCACGCACCGGAACGTTGCTGGACTCTGCCGCTTGGCAGATGGATTTCTTCTCCTGCCCCCGCGCACACACACCTTACCCCACACACAGCCAATTTCATGGGGTGGGGCCAGAGTCCCTGGATTTTGGACCTATATCTCGAAGGTGACTCATCACGCTGCAGTAACAACAAACAGGGCGCACGCCAGGCTCGGCTTGTGAGCAATCCGTGGGCTCACCATCGGTTCCTTGGAGGGATGTTGTTACCCAGCAGTCACCGGCCACACACAAACTCAGGAACATCAGCCTGTTCTCAAACACGAAACCGGCTGGATTTTAGACAAAAAAATAATCTGGCCTGCAAATAGTTCAGCCCAGTTCTACTGTATTCCGCACTCAGTTCAGCCCTCCGGTCTTGATTCCCCACTGCCGTGTGCCGGGGGTAGCCATTTAGAGCCATGCCAAAGGGCTGCAAAATGCCACCGTACAATCACACGGACCAGACTGGTGTGTGGGTGGCGAGGGGATTCTAAGGGGCAGCTTGATTCGGAGTCTAGTTCTACAATGGTCTTTGCTCCTGTTTACTTTAGAGCAACCTCGGGGCTGCTCTAAACTAGGCAGGCCGATTGTTCCCACAAAGGACCCCCTGAGACTATCTGGAGCACAGTACAGCTGTAGCTGCATCCTCTCCTGCCCCGCTATGCTGGGGAGGTATTGAAGCCAGCTATGCTAACTCTATACTATCTACTGACTCCCCACGCCCAGGGAATCCCCCCATGAGAAGATCTGGGGCATTTAAGGCCCCTTTGTAGCACCGGAAGAGCATGAAAGGACCAGATCACAGAAGAATCTGACCTATCAGAGTTCATTAGAGAGCTCCATTTATGCAGCCGGGAATTAGAACACGCGGTATAAGATTCTCCACTGTGTAACCAGCTTCTGATCAGTTTTAGTTTCTCTGAAAGACCAGACAGAAGACTGTCTGACAGATGAGGTTTCCTCGCTGTGCAATACTTTGCACTATATGCAATAATATTTGCACATCCGTGAAAAACCAACGTGCCCAGCTTCCATGTGTTCTGCCGTGAAATGCTAGTGAACATCTTGGGTCACACCACTATTAACCAGTTTTCGTAACCTACCTCGTGACCCAGTGACGTTTCCATCGCGCTCTCGGTCAACCTGGTACTAAGCATCAGTTCGCAGAATTTGATTTCGCACAGAAGCAGTGAGCTTACTTGCTTGTTTCAATCCATGTGTGCTCTGCAGTCTGGAATCATTTACTGCCCCAAGACGGGTCACATCATTGATTTAGGTGCATTTATAAATAGCCAGTAAGGGGCCAAGAGATGATTGTATTGGTCACCAGCAGTTGGTTCAATAAAAGGCATTACCTCACCAGCATTGTCTTCCTAATAAATGACTGACAGCGTAAGAAGCAGTTAGATCAATTGTTACTAATTGTTAGAGTCTAGCAGCTCAGCAGGTTGATTTTATAAACATCCATACCCTCACTTAGGGAAACAGACTTGAAAAACCACCAGGCTAATGTTTGGTACAATATTTTTTCCTGGATCTCAGCATACTTCTCTGCTAGGGTACAGACCAAGACTTGATATATGTTACAACATGGATTGATTTAAATCAAAGCTGTTTAAAATCACTGATTTAGCCACGATTTAAATGAGCAGGTAGGAAAACTTGACTTAAACAAACAATTTTAATCTTGGTTTGCATTTGTACTTTGTAGTTATTTTCCTAAAGAAAAGTTGATACTCACGGGTTGATACCCATTAAAACACAGTGATTTGCAAGTAAATAAAGCTTTTAAACTACATTCATTACGTTTTGCTCACTGGAACAGCATATTATATCTATACACATCCATTTAAGCCATGATATAATGCAACATACCTGTATTCCGATTCATAATGTTTATATTTTTATGTTGGAAAATTGTGATGACGCATTTCTCATTACTAGACGATTCTTAATTTTTTACTTGGGATTTGTATCAAGTCTCATTTGGCTAGAAAGTAGTGTTTGTTTAAAAATGCTCCAAAACAGCATTTTTTAAAAAGTAGTTACATAAAAACACCTTACCAAGTGCTGGAAACCTTAGGGGAAAAGATCAAAATAAGTTTTGTATTTAACACTAACTGAGTTAGTAAACAAAATAAGTATTATCTGTAGTTAGTGAATTGAACACATTTTCTCTGCTCACCAAGCTCTGCAAGATAGAACTAGCAGACCTCATCCTGTCATGGCTGATTTCTATTTGTAGATTGGAAAGAAAAAAAACCCCAAGCTTTCCTGCTATTTTCAGCTTTCAATTAGTGTCTTCACTGTGAATGAACTAGTCATTGGACTGAACTAGTTGAACAAAATAAACTCTCTGCAGCTGCGGAAAGACGACTGCTCTCAAAAGCCGGGTTAGCACTTTCTCATAGAGTCCAAGGCCAAAAGGGATCATTGTGATCATCAGCTGATTGTAATCAAGTTACCCTGCTTTGTGTTAAACTAGCACTTTGGTGCTATGACTGTCTTTACAGTCCCAGCTGCAAATAGGGCACTGCTTAACATTCACTTTCATTTCACTTAAATGAACTGAATGGATGATTGTAAGTTTCCGCCTTGGCAGAGATTGTCTTGTCTTCACATTTAATTTTAAGGAGGTTTATTTTGAAAAACAAACTTTCAAACCCCTGATTAAATTAAAATTGGATTTCAATAAAAAAGTTGGGGTTTTGCATATTTTAAAAAAATCATTTTTCCCTGCTCATTTTGATTTCGAGCAATAGCTTCCGCAGGGGGCTGCAGGTAGGTTTCGAGGGGTCTGCCAAGCAGGATCCAAGTTAGATTCTTTGAGGCCCCAGGACAGATAGCTGAAACCCCACCACATGGTCTGAAACTTGGGGTGCTCAGCCCTTCCTCTGGGACTGAAGCTAAAGAAACTTACCTTCATGGGGGTCCCAGTGTTGCAGGGCTCCAGGGAGATTGTGCTGTTTGCAACGCCCCCGTGCTAGTCCTGGATTTTTTATGTAGAAAACTAGGTGTTGGGGCACAGGGGGGGTGATGGAATTTTTATAGCATGTTGAAGGGACCCCAGGAAGCACAAAGCTTGGAACCCCCTGATCTAGAGTTAACTAGCTAATAGGAACCTGACCCCAAATCTCTACCAATAAACATTTATTCAATAGATCATGGGTTCCCAAACTGGGGGTGTGAAGAAATTCCGGGGGGAGGGGCGCGAGGTGACCCAGCACCCCCCCCCTTTTTTTGCTCAACAAGTTTTGCTATTGGGGGGGGGGGGAGATTTTTCAAAAATCAAAAAGGGGGTGTGATGCCGAAAAGTTTGGGAACCGCTGCTCTAGATGCACGCACAACCCTGGTCGCAGTTCTGAATAGTATCAATAACAACCCTTGCTAATTGACAACACTCCGTCAAGGGGGCATGTCCCCAAGTTTTAGCGTTTGTCACTCGCACGAAGTCCAATGCAAAACGTAATTCCACGCGGGTTCGTACGTACGTTTCTCCAGGCCACCTCCTTCAGCTGGGAAACAAGCGCTGGCCAGTCTCCTTCAAATTCCCCTGGAGTCTTGTTAATCCCCAGACTACAATCGGCACCGCCTGCAGCCAGCGTAGCCCTCTTCTGCCGAGTCTGGGGGAAACTGTCCTCTAAATCCAACACCCTGGCAAGATCTCTGGAATAGATCTTGGGTACAAGCATTTAATCCTTGTGCTGCTCCCACCATTAAGTTCTCCACTCCAGCCAGGCTCCTCCTCTTTATAAACTCCTCCCCTTCCCCTCCAGCTCCCATTGGTCCACCCGAGAGCAGCTCTGGGTGTGTCCTGCCAGGCTGCACACCCCCCGTGGAAATCACTTACAACACCCCATGAGCATGCTGGGTGGCCACCCTGCTACCTCGGTGGAGGATTCTGGCCCCAGCCAGCACGGTGTTCCAGTCCCACCTCCCATCGGCATCTGACGGAAGGCAGAGAAGAGGACTTACGGAAAGGAGGGAAGGAGCCCGTCACCGGGCCCTGGGGGACCTTCATCTCTGTGCTCTGTCCTCCTGTTACCAGCTGGGGAGGGGCACTGCAGCCTCCGGTCCCTGGGCAAAGGGGACCCTCAGGGGAGGAGGGGGTGGGAGGAGGCAGCAGGAGCCCTGTTGGCACATTAGAAGCTGCTTCCTGACAATCGGCCCCGAGTTACAAATTTACTTCCCAGACCTTGACCTGGGCTGGGTTTGGGGTTTTGTTGTGGTTTTTCCGCATGAGCGCGTTTGCTTATTGGGCGCCTCTCGCGTCGGTGTTGCGACACCGCGCCAAGCGGTACCAGACAAACCAGCTACGGCTGGCACCTTCTCGGCCGGGGCGGGGGAGAGAGCTGGCTGAAAACCTGTGTCATCCAGGGAGAGGGGGCAGTTTGCTGCTTGCAAGCAGGGTGTGTTTCTAACCAGGCCTGTGCCTCCCCCCCTTCCAGTCTCGGCTTCCCCCTGCAAGATAACAGCAGCCCTTTGAACCTTCCACCTGACTCCATAAACTAGCCACTCGCATTTCTGCTTTTACCACTTCTTTTCTCCGCCTGTACGAGCCTCTCCCTGGCTCTCTACGGAGAGCTAACAAACGCGCATTAGCTCTTTGCCTGTTAATGCTTAGGACACACAAATCACGGGGCCTTTTTACCTTGCTAAACCTACCAGAAATCCACCCAGAGTTGACCTTGACTAGCTACATCAAGGCAAAACACTGCAGAACATTGTCTCCACTGGGATTAGCAGCTACTATGTGCTATCCTCTTATTTTGGGAGAGACGGCCTAGTCACTGGCTTTGGATAGATCTATATCGCAATTGCGGGAGGGGCGCGACTGCAGCCCCGAGCTTGGCGCCGTCTTCAGAGAGGGAGGCTGATGGGAGCAAACACTCCTGTCGGCTTCCCCACCGACCGGAGCCGCCCTCAGCATTCGATTTAGCGGGTCTTCACTAGACCCACTAAATCGAACGCCAGAAGACGGCTCTCCTGAGCGGCAAGGGAAGACGTGGCCTAACCCGGCTCCCTCTCTGAGACTTGTATAACTATAATGGATGCTTCTTAAGGATAACTTCTTGATCTGGTTCTAAAACACAGCTGGGGAAATGGGACACACACTGCTAAAGAGAATGAATTGCTCTCTGCACATCAGATTCACAGGTGTCTCTCTGAGAGGTGCCGGGGTAATATAGGGCGTAAAAGGACAAAGCCAAGGAGATAGGATGAGCTGCAGTCAACATGTGGGATGCTGGATTTGAAACCAGGGTCGATCTATTTAATCTCATAATGAAGAACTCACACCAGATGTCCCCAGGATTCTGGCAGACACCGGATTGGGCAATATTTAAATTTCCGAGGAGCCCTCCGATACAGCCGAGATAAGCAGCGTGTAAAAACCTGTAGCGAACAGAAATCGTTTGATTGTTTTATGAAATGGGAGGCTATAAACCTTTATAGACCAGGTGGCCATAAAACTTTACAAGGGCAAAACCACGTGGGAGCTTGTTCGAGTTGCCAGTTAGTTTGCAGGTAGAATTTAAGCTGTTGGTTTTGCCGTATAAAAACAGGCTCCATATCCTGGTATCACCGTATGTAACAGGCTGCCTCCCGCCCATGCCGCGGAGCCGCAGATGCATCCGTGTGAAATTCCCCCGTTGATGATGTGACGTTCCCTGCGCAGGTGCAGGGACGTTGGAAGCACACCCCATGCACTTGCTGAGAGGCGGCGTTGGACCGCCAGTTTAGCATTCCGAGCGGGAGCACAGGAACCCAGGAATGGAGAGTGACGACGTCCGCGGATCCCCAAAACAGAGAGGCACGAACGCCTCCCACTTTGATCTCATTAAACACGCCATTCCCCAGTCCCTCGCCTACACGAAGGACCAGGAAACCATGTGAAAGCTGAAAGTCACTGATCACAATTTTCACTACACCATCCGTGACATAGAAGGAATTGCTCGCAGGGCCCATTGGGTTAGGAATTCAGCCCCCTCATGATCTGAAAATGCCTGAAACCATGGAACATCAGGGAACGCTCGTGGTCCCATTTCCTTTCTCCAGGTTTTTGAGGCAGATGGGGTGCTGGTATTAAGGTTTGCCCACAGCTGGATTTCTACTGGGGATGGGCGTTGCATCGTACTCTGTGATTGGCATGTGTTTTATCCAAGGGATTTTGCTGTGGGACCTTTATTTGGATTGCTAAATAAACCAATGCCCCGCATTGTGTTAGGTGCTGTACAAACGTGCCAGCCCGAATCACATCCTGCGTCCATTCCCTGTATCACACAGCGGATGTGAGTGCGTTCCTCTGTGCTTTGCACGTGTGCACCCAAATATTGATTTTTGGCATGCGATTTTTGTCCGCCTCTCTTTCGAAATAAATGTCAAACAAATAAGACAGGCACACACACACACACAGACACTCTTATTGATTTCTCTTGGGACTTTAACCCCCCGATGTCATCCCGTTCACGTGGCAGATGCTCCCACGCCTGGGAACAATGTACCAAGAGGCTCAAAGAGCAGAACTAATGTTAGCAGGCGCTCGGGCCGTATGTCCCCAGACTACTTTTCTGCCGGTGAAAACTTGTGGTGCAAGCATCACACATAAAAACACACCGCTGGCCCTGGATTCTGGAAAAAAAATAAAAATAGAAACCTGCCAGCAGGAGGTGAGCTCCTGGGCAGATTTGCAGGGGGAACGCACATCTGCGTTGCTTGTGGAACTATGGAAGAGACAGGAGCAACAGAGTGGATGCCAGGTGACACCGTTTTATGTAGAGAGCTAGATACCGATGGTAGCTCTCTCAAGCATTCCAGCTCCTGCACTGATTCCTATCTCCCAGGGATCTCAGCTCACTTCACAGAGATCTCCCAAGCTGTTATACAGTTAGAGCGGTGTGTTCAAAACTGGCACGAACATTTAAAAAAACTCACCCTGTGACTGTTTTGGAGTGGCTCCGAGTCTCCTGTGGGAAGATGCAGGGGAATGGATGAAGTTTAGCATGAAGTGTTGGGCTAGGTTCTTTCCTGTACCCACGCCTGCGGACGGGGGGGCCTGTTGCCCCAGGGCCTGGCGATTTAAAAGGGCTAGGGGTTCCCAGACACTGCACCGTTGGAAGCCTGAGCCCTGGGCCCTTTAAATCTCCGCCGGAGCATCAGGGAGTGTGCTCCAGGCAGCTATGAGGGCTGCTGGGAGGAAGGGAGGGGCTCAGAGCAGCGCTCCTCCCACTCAAGGCCCCGCCTCTTCTGGGAGTGTGGAGCTGGGCCTCCTCTATCTTGCCCAGGGGTCGCTAATCCTGTTGGGTCTCGCCCCCTTCCTACAGCGGCTTGTGGGGGAGGCATGACGGAGCGGATTCAGATCTACATCAGGCAAAGTGAGAGAGAGAGAAGCCTCCGGCTGCCTGTAACTCACACCAGTTGTATCCGGGACTGTGCGTCCTCACCGGGCAGCCCTTTGCACCGCCCCCCAACACAAGCAAGTTACTCGGGAACCCGAGTCTTCCTCATTGCAGTCACATACATGCTCCCGACGCCGGTCAGGGCTCCCTTTCACACCGGGCCTTGGGTCAGGGTGCCGGTATGCAGTTCAGAAGGAGCGCTGCTAGAAGCTGACAAGATGGTTTCAAACACCCCCCATAAAGTAACTCTGGCTACTCTGCAGTGAACGCAAGAAAAAGGTATCTGGACGCCTTAAGAAAAAGTCAGGCATTTTTAGGCTTTTGGAAGGCAACAATTTTGGTTTTGTCTGTTCAAAATGTGCATTCGTTTTGCAAACACGAAGAGCTGAGTCATTGTACTGCCTTACTAAAGCGACGTGGGGAAAGCATGGGTTTATTCTTGTATTCAAGCCTATCCCTGCCCTCCAGCATATCTACCTCTCCCCTACTGTCAGCTGGGAACTTGCTGGGGAGCAACCCAACCCAGCATCCAGCGCGTTAATGAAGATGTTGAACAAAACCAGCCCCCGGACTGAGCCCTGGGGCACTTTCTTGAGCCCGGCTGCCAATAAGTTAAGTGCCTTAATAATAATACCTGCATCCCCATGCACTTTAGAAAGGAGAGCGGTATCACGGAGCCCATTTTAGAGATGAGAAAACTGAGGCACCTAGTTGATGTGTGTGGCTGACAATCGCCCCACAGCAAAGCCAGGACCAGCACCCGGGTCTGCTAAGCCACAGGTTACTGCGCTAGCCTCTAGTCCACACTGCCTACAAATGCTCGCTATGCTCCTGCTGGGCCTTTCAGGGTGGCAGGCGTGACAGTCTCTGCCACGCCTCCAGAACAGGAAAGAACAGCCACCGGGGATAGGGACGGGCCAGGGAGCAGAGGACCATGGATCTTAGACAACAAGCGGGACACACTGGCCTCGTGGAAAGCAGCAGGTGCTTTGCCCTTGAATTCGACAGGGCCAGGACTTCACCCCAGCCGGTACAGACGTCAGGCAGCCAGCGCTTCTGGAGGGATCGGGCACCATTGCGAACCAAACAAACGTGTGCCTGGCTTTGAAGAGTGGAGGCCATTTCCCACGCTAGGTTTGTCCCCGCTCACCGTTGCTGCCTGGGGGTCCCCCTCCCAGTTTCTGCGGAGGCAGGGCTGTGAAAAATAATTGTACATGGAGAGATTCCTACCTCATAGCACTGGAGAAACTGTTGAAGCCAGTCCCCAGCCCTCATGGCAGGGCCAAGTATCATCTGGCACAGGTCTGCCCCTGATCCCTAAATAGCCCCCTCAAGGATTGAACTCTCAACTCTGGGTTTAGCAGGCCAATGCCCAAACCACTGAGCTATCCCTCCACTGCTGCTGCTGCTGCTGCTGTGCTTGTCCCTGAAGGTCACACAGGAAGGTGAAGGGGAGGCAAGTGGTCGGCATGGTAACCAGAGAGCCGGCACATCCCGCTGCTTCTCACCGAGGCGCAAATCCACCTGCCCTTGGAGAAGAGACGCGCGAGCTCGGTGGGCGCCTAGCGAGCTGGGGGAGCCTGGCGTCCAGCCGCTGTTTATACCAGCCGCCGCCCGCGCCCATGGTCGCTAGGTGTGAGTCACGGGGGCTGTGTCCGCGAAGGATGCCTGGATTCGGGGCCCGCTTCGAGCCGTGGCATCCCCCGAGAGCTGCTTCGAGTTCCAGGCCGAGGCGGGAGGGCGGATGCCTGCGCTCTATATAGAGCTCACGAGGGTGACGCGCTCTCGAAGCTGACGGGTCGCGTTGGCCCGAGCACAAAGGGATCTCGAGGCCAGGAACCAGTTCAGGCTAGAAATCAGCCGGTGCCACGCCCGAGAGGGGTGGGTTTGGAGCAGCCTCCCCCGGGGCGAAAGGCTCCAGAATGCTTGCCGCCTAGATAGGCAAGATGACCACAGGCGGGAGGAAGGAAGGACCATGAGCCCCGCGGTCCAGCTGGGGGTGGCTGAGGGAGGGGCAGATTGAGTGACGGGGCCAGGAACCGAGGTGTGTACAGGCGTGCGCCCTGGCTGTAACCGGACGGCTGCTTCCGCCCTCCAGCTCGGTGGCCTAGCACGCTGTGCGCTTCTCGGCCCCTCACACGGCATCACCCACTCCTGGATGGCAGCTCCGTAGCCACCAGCTGGCGTTTCAAGGAGCCAGGACGAGCCTTAGACGCAGCAGCCCCTGCGAACGGCACCTCCCACCCAGAACAGCCGGGGGCCTTCCCCTTCTGCTGCCCCGGCCATTCCCCGCCTCTGGCCAAGACGGCCTCCCAGTGATGGTCACCTGAGAAACGTCCATTGGAGTCCGGGTGCAGCAGGCCACCTCTAGCAACACCGGCGAGAAAACACGCTTCACTCCGGCGATCTGCCTCCCACCTGGACCCCCCACCTGGCACAGACGTGATGGCCTGGTTGCCACATCCGGGACCCAACCAGAGCCCAAGCATGAGTGGAAGAACCCAGCTCCCCCTCTCTGGGGCCATCACAGCGTCATCTCCTTGGCTGCCTTAGCCCAAAGGGGGCCTAAACCCCCCACTTCCTTGCGGGTTACACGGGCGCTGTTCAAAATGGCCTCAGCTTCTGGTGCCAAAGCCTCGCTGCCCGATTGGCTGACTGGCTGGGAGCCTCTTCCTATATAATCTGTAACACGGCTCCCTTCCTTTCCCAACTCTTGTGTAGAACACGCCGGGCGGGTATCATGGGACCCACATTGCTGGTTGAACCGGCGTTGTGCGGCATGGGCTTTTAGCCCACCGAATGCACCCCCGAGGGCCAGCCTGCTCCTGCGTGGTCGGTAGCTATGCTGTTGGGCCGCAGGTCTTGTGCTGCAGGGTAATAACTTGCCCATCCACAGGAACAGCGCCAGGTTCATTCGCAATGAGTGACGAGGCAGGCAGAGGGGTAGGAGAGAGGTCTTTGCTGGGCATGCATGGAGACCCATGTTCCTGTGCTTGGGAGGTAGCCACCTGGCCTGGCTTGCACCCTGGTGCTCACCCTCCTGGCATCTAACTCTCCTTCCTCTGTTCCACTCATCCTACTAGGGCGGCTGGCAAGGGGGTCAGAGACTCACTGTGGGGACGGATGCCCCGTTGATATCCCGGTCGCGGGGTGACAGCCTCAGGCTGCTCCGGACGAGCCCAGAGCTTGTAAAAACGTGCTCGGGGTGGTTTAGACCACATGGAAACTAGGCTCCAGTCCTGCCTCCCTTGCGTCGGTGGTGCTGGATGAGTGATGGAGAGAAGTCCCCTCTGAAGAAGTAGGGGCAGCAGAGATAAAGGGCGTAACGAGGGCAGGGTGGAGAACCACGGTGGTTTAACTCTCCGAACAGCTTCAGATGGGATGCTGAGCTGGGCGTTTAGGGCTAATCTGCACCTACCCTTGGGGAACCGGGGGGATTAACGCTTGACATCTGCTCAGGCTGTCGGGCTCCGCCTTCTCCGGGGGAGGCCACATTAGCTGCCATTCGTTAATCGGTTTGTAACGAGCCATCGTGGTTCTGTGCAGCGTTGGGAAGGGTTCGGACCAACTCCTTGCTAAGGCCACGATCCTCCAAGGTATTTCGGTGCCTAACTCCCATTGGTTTGGGTTCCGGGCAGCTCTCAGTTGCAAGTAATGCTGGCTAATGCCTGGAGTAGGACAAAGAGTCCCATGAGTCTCGGCTCAGGGATAAGCTGGCCTGCCATGAATCTGGCAACTCTTGAGCGCTGCAGAGATGCCATGAGGCCAAGGCCTGGCCATCGATCGTTGGCCCTGGACGAGTTCCCTGCCCTTTGTCGCCTTTTAGCCTCTGAGCTTGGTGAGAAGTCACCCTGAAAAATCCCCAGGCCCCATGCCAAGTCTCCAATCCTTCTCTCCTTTCCCAGCCTCCATCCTCAGTCAGCACCCCCACGGAGAGGAGAGTGCAATCAAACCAGGCGGCTCGCCTGCAGAAGAGCGCAGGAATGGTCCCAAACGCACACACGTGTGTGTGTGTGTGTGTGTGTGTGTGTGCGTGCGCGTGCGACAATGACAATCAACGAGCCGCTTCCCCCCAGTGACGTGGCTAGACTCATTAACATTGCACAGTGGTTCCTTGTGGCTTAGCACGAGTAGGTCTCCCCATCTTCCCTAGCCTTTCCATCCCCACATTCCCCTGTGCAGGGCTACAGATCCAGCAGCCACGCGCTAGACACGTCTGGGGGGTGCAGGTCTGTTCCGGATTCTAGAACTCAGCTGCTGTCCACACACGTCACCTGATCACTTCTCCTGCTGGGCTCATAGCCTACCTGCCACATGCCCAAGCGAATGCTTCTCTGTCTTCCAGTCCTCATCCCTGCCTCAGGCACCTGTCTTATACACCATGTACCGGAGCCCTTCTCTTTCCAGCACCTTGGATGCTCTGCTGGGCTGTTTATGCCGTGGTGCTTTGGCGGCCACACAGCCGTTGGCACTGAGCGCCATCTTCTGGCTACTTTGTGGCCTCCCACACTTTACGAATATGAGCGTCAGCAAAGCCAACTTCCGAAAGCCCCAAATTCTTTTCCCCCCCTCACTCTCTGTTTTATTGAACGGAAACTTTTTACTGAAGCAACATCCACGCCTCTTGTACAAGGAAGATTAATAACACACATTTCCCAAATGTGAGCAATAATCTCAAACCATTTTATTAATCAACGTCACATAAAGCACTGCACATATCAAATTAAAATGGATGTATAATTATAAATAAATTAAATACATAGCTTATTCAAAACCACAGTGATAAATATAAAACCTAAACAGATTATACTTGTTATACAGAAAGATCATCTTATGCTTCCAGTTAAGAATTAAATAATCTGCAGGCATGGATGTACACACAGACCTTTAATCATCTCTGTCCCTACATGACAGAGAAGTTTAAAGGAATAAGTACATAGCATGAAACCCTGTCTCCACTGAAACCAATGGTAAAACTCTCATCAATTTAAATGAAGCCAGAATTTCAATAGTCAGTTTGGGATTCTTTCAGGTCTGCAGTCATTACCTTTTGAGATAGCCTGCAGACTATTTTATCTGAACAGAGTAGGTATCCCATACTTTTTGCATAACATCTATGATGCTGCACTGAAGGGCAGACATGCTACAGCGATTCTACAATTAACAAGCAGCACAGAAGTACATGCAGAAGAAGGTACACAAGAAACTAAACACATATTTATATAGATTACAATCCTTAATCCCATGGGGATGAACTAGTTCCCTATCTACTTACTGCCTTCCCAAACCAGAGGGCCTGAATAATTACTCATTCTGATTGTCCTCCCATTAGCATCGCTTTAAAGTTAAGAACTTGCAAGGAACTGCAGCAAAACACCCTGCCCTTAGTCTCACAGACATATGTATTAACTGTGATGTATTGCTGCAGTACATTTACTTCAATAACTATCAGCGAACCAAATCAATGGTTTGCAAAGCAGTTCTGCACATATATCCTACTTTGCTTTAAAAATGCAACCCGTATGTCTCCATGGGAGAGATCTCCAGCAGCGTATAACAAGGTATTCACTCCATCCTGCTAGCTACAGACTGACCCTAAGCGTCCAGCTTATTTCGTCTCCATCCAGAGAATGAAAACATTTCTCCCAATCACTGTAGCTGTATGTTGACCGGGTCTGTGTAGTCTCTTGGTAAACAGCCAGCGTTTTACCCCCAGCTCGCTTGTGGTTGTTAGCCAAAGCAGATGACTCGGCTCAGTATTTAGTAGCAAGAGACGAGGCTAATCTTCTTGTCAGCAAGATAGATGAACGCCTGGTCACTTGCAGATCCCTGTATACTTCCGATTCCTAGGCATCCGTGATAACAGCTTCGATTCCTGCAGAGAGAACAGGTTTCCTTTTTAAAACAGGAAGATAGGGGCACGGGTTTGCATTCACTTCTTCCAAAGCTCTTTTGCATCTGGCCCCTAGCCACAATGTAAAGAAGCATCTCCTACTTCGTATGGCAAGGCCCAGAAGCTAACACAATTGTCCCTGCCTTGCAGGAATGTCACTGAATCGATTCATCTGCCAGTCTTCGGGTACTTTTATGGCCCTCCTCACCCCAGCACGTATGCTAGCAGTCCCACAATTAATCTTATTGCTGGAAATCCACAGCAGTGAAAGGTCGCTGGTGCATTCAGTGTCCGCATTATTAAAAGGAAACTGAATCACGAGAGTAAACATCTCCCGTATCTTACCTCACTTCTCTCTCGCGTCACTTGGCATTAGATGAGTTACCCAGTACTTTGGTAGGTACCTTCAGAGTTGAGAGTCTGACAGCTGCTGTAAGATCAAGAAGAGAGGGGTTTAGACACAACTGCTCTGCTCAGCCATGTGATGTTAGCAAAGAATGGGAGGCAATGATTTTCGTGGGGGTTTTGAAACACAACTTACCTGGCAGGAGTAAATTTCTTTGCTGCAAGAGAAAAAAATAACATCGTTAGCTCTTAAGGTCAACATTCCCATCTCGCAAGCTATTTATTTTGTCATTTTCTTGGAGCATTTGCACCATTGATTCAACAGCAGAAATCTGTTGTAGCTTGGAACTGAGCTACCATCCCCACTTCTCCATAACACTTCTGCCCGGTAGTGGCCTTAGAGCTGGGAGCTGTTCTCCAAATTGTTATTATTTGTGAGCAGTGCTACCAACCCCTCTGCTCTCTGTGAGAAACCAGCTCTTAATAGTAGAACTGAACAGGTATCTCAATGAATGTTGTCCCCATACAGAGAATGAAGATGGGGTATTCTCTTAGGGTGTCTTTGTATCTCTCTTGTGTGTTTTTTCCATTCATAAGCTAACAAACATGTTGACTGTCAGGAAAATTAATGGAAATAATGAATCGTAAGTTAATCTGAGGGTATGTCCACACTGCACGGCTGTATCCTGAAATAGCTACCCTGCATCTTAACATGCTGCCCTTTATTTCAAAATATTTTTCAAAATAACAAGTACACTGTTTCAGCCTCCCTGTAACCCTCGTTCCACGCTGTGTAAATGCACCACATTTCAAAATAAGCTATTTCAAAATAGAATCGAAATAAGATACGCAATTTTCATAACGCAAATTGCGTATCTTATTTCAGGTTTAGGGTGCTGTGTAGATGCACCCTCAAGGAATATTCCTGGGGAGTAAATTTTTAAGTTGTAAATGCAAGTCATTTAATTGAAAAACGGATTTTATATCTCAACCAATCAGGAAAATGAAAGATACCATGTGACTCAACTGTCCAATTACAACTAATCAGCATTGCTCATGTTTTGAATATCTAACACTTGCAACAAAGTGTGAGCAAACTGAAGAGAAGAGAGGTACTCAGTGAGTCGTTTTTAAAGTACAGATCAATCAAAAATGGCATACACTGTGTATCACTGCTTGTGAGAGGAAAAAGAGGCTCCATTTGACAAATAAATGATTTCCTACGAATTATTTGTTCAGCTCTGCAGTCATTAATGTCTTTACAGACATCTGTTTCTATAACGATCATTATTCATTGAAACAAAGTGGTCCAAAAAGAGACATTCTCTTACACACCTTGTCTCTCTAATTTACTGGGACCAACACAGCTACCAAGAGACAGCAAACCCCTTAGCTTGCATACTGAGCAATGGCAGTTAGACGCACTAGTGTTATTTCTGGCTGACATCCTGCTGGCTAATCCCTGGTCAGCTCTCCAGCCAATAAATGCTCATGAGTCAAAAAATGGTATTGTATTGTCTTCAACAGCATTCAAAGAACATGAGAATTCTTTTTTATTCCTTGAGTTTGGGGTGATTTTTGTCAAAACCCTGACAATGGAATATTCCGAGGGAAAGTTGAATATTTCAACGAAAACGGGAATTTTCTCACTACACTTTCCACATTTATCAAAAAGTGTTTTCCCCCCGAAAGATGTCCCGCAGTCCTACGGAGGAGGCAAATAAAGAGAGGAACCTGGTGCCGCGTCTCACCTTTCCTTCGAAGCCGCTTTACGAGCCAAATGAGGAGTGATGCTGTCGACAGCAGAGAGGCGCTGGTGGCAGCTATTGCAATGGAGATGTAACTGATGAGTTTCTCAGATGCCGGAGGAGCTAGGGGGGCAAAAAAGATCCTATGAGAAGCCCATTCTATGAAGTGCTTGTTTCCTTTTGCTTTCTCCCACTGAGTGGGGGCACACACTGGAAGCAAAACAGAGCAGAGAAAGCCTGGCAGAAAGCTTCCTGATGAAAATACTTCCACCTAATGGACGGTGCAATGTTGTAGGACCCCTCATTACACTGGATGGGTCAGATCTCAATATTTTGACGCCCATTATGCGGTGTCCGACTCCGTGAACTCTCACTGAAGTCAATGAAGTAACTCAAGGAGGACTAGGTGACCCAATGTGAGTGCAGGTATCTTGGGGACAATCGGTGGGAATTTCTGAAGCACTCGGTGTTCGCCTGTTGTTGCTGTGACATAACTCCCATGGACTTTGATGAGAGCAGAGTTAAGCAAAGACAGAGCACTCAAAAACCACAGCCGGTTGTGGAAGTGAGTTCTTGGTCCCAGCCTCACAATACATTAGTGATGAGGCATTTAGAATTGACTAAAAAACCCTGTCTCCATTTGGGGATTTGTTTGAAAATTGGGCTTTTGCCGAAAGGAACATTTTCACAGAAAGTGGCTGCTTTCTTTGAAAATGTTCAGATTTTCCATAGAAAGCCAAAAACCCAGAGAGAATTTTTTTTTCTTTTTAGCAAAAAGTCGATTTTTGAGTTTCTGAGGTTTTTAACCAAAAATCAAATCTTTTCAGTGGGGAAAAATATTGGGCCAGCGCTAGAAATGACCACAGTCTGCCTGGTCACATTCCGTCCTTCCCTGCACTCTTGTCCAATGACAAAGCGAGGCCTCTTCAGCACTGGTAGTCACGAGGAAAAACCCAAATAAAATACCTTCACACGTCGGCTGCCTTGAAGTCCAGTTCCCTTCAGGGCTGCACTGAAGTACGTTCGAGCCGTTTAGCAACCATCCCCCGGTGCAGTTAAACTTGCACACTGTGCCGGATGCAAAATCCCCAAGAGGGTGTGAACAATTCATGGAGCCCTTTTCAGGAGGCATCAGGGTTTCACACTGTGCAACTGAAATACAAAAACACACACAAATCGTAATCACCTCGCTAAGAAGTATCTTAAATTAGGTCCCACCATCGGTGCCGATAAACGTGCACTCTATTTCACCATCTGCATTTAGCTTCTGGGGTAAGGGACCTTGCAGTAAGTTTTTGCTAAACTGTATGGCTGTGTCTACACTGGGCCACTTATTCCGGAAAATCAGCCGCTTTTCCGGAATAAGCTGCGAGCTTTCTACACTGGCCCTTGAATTTCCGAAAAGCAACGATGTTCTACTGTACAAAATCAGCTGCTATCCCGGAAAAACTATTCTGCTCCCGCTCGGGCATAAGTCCTTATTCCGGAACACTGTTCCAGAAAAGGGCCAGTGTAGACAGCCCAGTAGTCTTTTCCGGAAAAAAGCCCCGATCGCGAAAATGATGCTCGGGGCTCTTTTCCGGAAAAGCACGTCTACATTGGCCACAGACGCTTTTCCGGAAAAAGGGCTTTTCCGGAAAAGCGGCCTGCCAATGTAGACGCTCCTTTTCCGGAAATACTTATAATGAAAACTATTCTGTTTTAAGCATTTCCGGAAATTCATGCCAGTGTAGACACAGCCTATCAGTGTTCAGCAAAGTAAAAGGCTGGTACTATTACTGTAGCAAGCTAAATGGTTTTCCCAAATGTGCTATACTTGAAGACCTCAATGAAAATCACTTTAGACTAGATCCTGAGCTCCTGTAAACTGAAGCTACACAAATTTGAAACAGCTGACAAGCTTAGTCCTTGATGCACAGAGCTGAGCTATCCGAGGCGTGTTTTAGATACCCGGGCTCTTGAGCCTGACTCAGTTATTTCCAAAGGAAAAGGACCATTCTCCTTGCCCTGTGCACTGAACTGAGGGTGCTCCACGTAACCGGTAGCCCTCCTCACAACGGAACTCACAGGTCGAGCTGTAGGTGAATGCTGGCTCATGGGGGGTGCAGTCCACAAAGCCGTTTTCAAGCCCCCTCACGGCTTCGCACGTCACAGCTGAGACACAGAGAGCACAGCAGCGGTTAGTCTGGACGCCACAGGACACGAGCACCGAGAGCCCCATGTGCTGGACAGGGCTGTGACAAAGAAAGGTACCTTCGCATGTTGGCGGCTGTCCTTTCCACCTCCCAGAAGCGCCGCACTGGAGCCGGCCTGAGCCCTTCAACGCAAACCCTTCTTCACAGGCAAAGTCGCAGGTTGAATTCCACACAGAGTTCCCAGAGGCAGGAGAGCACGTCAGGGAGCCATGAGCTGGAGCCTTTAAGCCGTCACACTGCACCACTGCAAAGCACAGGAACAGCGCGCAGCTTAGCTTGGAGCAAGCAAGGAGAAAAACGCCCCGTCTGCGAGGTAACAGATCCCACAGTGCCTGGAGCCGGGCGTGGGACAGTGAAGCTGACACCCAGCAGGTGAAGAACGTGACTGGGGTGGTGGAATCTGGGAGTCTCAGGGGACTGGACGTGGGCTGTCAGTGGGATCAGAGTTTTACACTTAGTAGTGAAAATACAAAACTTTACGTGTGTCCTTTATAAAGTGTCTCCTATTTCTGGCACAGACACATGTGCACCAGACCCCGCTCCAGAGCAAACTGCATTGCAGCTCTCAGGAAAACAATTGTTCAGATACCTTACCCCAACTCATCTTAGCGTTCAGCCCTCTCCGAAAAGAGGAGCTAGAGGAGTATCAGGGCTAAGATTATCCCTCAATCTAGCGGGGCTGCATTAGCACAGCAGCTGCACTTGAGGCATTGGACAGCAATTGTTTAACCAGAACTGTGCCCATTCCTAGTGTGCAATCATGCTTCTCGGGTCTCTGCTGCCTGCTCTGTGCCTCAGTTTCCCCTTTAGTAAAGTGGAGGCACTAATATTGGCCTCCTCAGGAAAGCACTTTGAGACCCATTGATAAGAAGTACTGTTTACAATCGAGGCATCGTGTTGTTATTTCCAAAGGCCAAAGACCTACCTTCACACTTCGGGAAAGGCGCTGACCATTCTCCTTGCCCTGTGCACTGAACTGAGGGTGCTCCACGTAACCGGTAGCCCTCCTCACAACGGAACTCACAGGTCGAGCTGTAGGTGAATGCTGGCTCATGGGGGGTACAATCCACAAAGCCGTTTTCAAGCCCCCTCACGACTTCGCACGTCACAGCTGAGACACAGAGAGCACAGCAGCAATTAGTCTGGTCACCACAGGACACAAGCACCGAGAGCCCCGTGTGCTGGCCAGGGCTGTGACAAAGAAAGGTACCTTCGCATGTTGGCGGCTGTCCTTTCCACCTCCCAGAAGCGCCGCACTGGAGCCGGCCTGAGCCCTTCAACGCAAACCCTTCTTCACAGGCAAAGTCGCAGGTTGAATTCCACACAAAGTTCCCAGAGGCAGGAGAGCACGTCAGGGAGCCATGAGCTGGAGCCCGTAAGCTGTCACACTGCACCACTGCAAAGCACAGAAACAGCGCGCAGCTTAGCTTGGAGCAAGCAAAGAGAAAAACGCCCCGTCTGCGAGGTAACAGATCCCACAGTGCCTGGAGCCGGGCGTGGGACAGTGAAGCTGACACCCAGCAGGTGAAGAACGTGACTGGGGCGGTGGAATCTGGGAGTCTCAGGGGACTGGACGTGGGCTGTCAGTGGGATCAGAGTTTTACACTTAGTAGTGAAAATACAAAACTTTACGTGTGTCCTTTATAAAGTGTCTCCTATTTCTGGCACAGACACATGTGCACCAGACCCCGCTCCAGAGCAAACTGCATTGCAGCTCTCAGGCAAACAATTGTTCAGATACCTTTCCCCAACTCATCTTAGCGTTCAGCCCTCTCCGAAAAGAGGTGCTAGATTCGTATCGGGGGTTGAGATTATCCCTCAATCTAGTGGGGTTGCATTAGCACAGCAGCTGTGTTTGAAGCATTGGACTGTGATAGTTTAACCAGAACTGTGCCCGTTCCCAGTGTGAAATCATGCTGCTGCAGTTTCTGCTGTTTGCCTCAGTTTCCCATTTAGTAAAGTGGAGGCTATGATGTTGGCCTCCTCAGGAAAGCACTTTGAGACCCATTGATAAGAAGTGCTGTTTACAGTCCAGGCATCGTGTTGTTATTTCCAAAAGACAAAGACCTACCTTCACATTTCGGGAAAGGCGTTGACCATTCTCCTTGCTCTGTGCACTGAACTGTGCGTTCTCCACGTAACCAGTAGCCCTCCTCACAATAGAATTCACAGGTAGAGTTGTAGGTGAATGCTGGCTCCTGGAGGGTGCAGTCCACAAAGCCGTTTTCAAGCCCCCTCACGGCTTCGCATGTCACAGCTGAGACACAGAGAGCACAGCAGCGGTTAGTCTGGACACCCCAGGACACAAGCACCAAGAGCCCCGTGTGCTGGGCAGGGCTGTGACAAAGAAAGGTACCTTCGCATGTTGGCGGCTGTCCATCCCACCTCCCAGAAGCGTCGCACAGGAGCCGGCCTGAGCCCTTCAACGCAAACCCTTCTTCACAGGCAAAGTCGCAGGTTGAATTCCACACAAAGTTCCCAGAGGCAGGAGAGCACGTCAGGGAGCCATGAGCTGGAGCCCGTAAGCTGTCACACTGCACCACTGCAAAGCACATAAACAGCGCGCAGCTTAGCTTGGAGCAAGCAAAGAGAAAAACGCCCCGTCTGCGAGGTAACAGATCCCACAGTGCCTGGAGCCGGGCGTGGGACAGTGAAGCTGACACCCAGCAGGTGAAGAACGTGACTGGGGCGGTGGAATCTGGGAGTCTCAGGGGACTGGACGTGGGCTGTCAGTGGGATCAGAGTTTTACACTTAGTAGTGAAAATACAAAACTTTACGTGTGTCCTTTATAAAGTGTCTCCTATTTCTGGCACAGACACATGTGCACCAGACCCCCCCTCCAGAGCAAACTGCATTTCAGCTCTCAGGCAAACAATTGTTCAGTCACCTTTCCCCAACTCATCTTAGCGTTCAGCCCTCTCCGAAAAGAGGAGCTAGAGGAGTATCAGGGCTAAGATTATCCCTCAATCTAGCGGGGCTGCATTAGCACAGCAGCTGCACTTGAGGCATTGGACAGCAATTGTTTAACCAGAACTGTGCCCATTCCTAGTGTGCAATCATGCTTCTCGGGTCTCTGCTGCCTGCTCTGTGCCTCAGTTTCCCCTTTAGTAAAGTGGAGGCACTAATATTGGCCTCCTCAGGAAAGCACTTTGAGACCCATTGATAAGAAGTGCTGTTTACAGTCCAGGCATCGTGTTGTTATTTCCAAAAGACAAAGACCTACCTTCACATTTCGGGAAAGGCGTTGACCATTCTCCTTGCTCTGTGCACTGAACTGTGCGTTCTCCACGTAACCAGTAGCCCTCCTCACAATAGAATTCACAGGTAGAGTTGTAGGTGAATGCTGGCTCCTGGAGGGTGCAGTCCACAAAGCCCAGGGCTGTGACAAAGAAAGGTACCTTCGCATGTTGGCGGCTGTCCTTTCCACCTCCCAGAAGCGCCGCACTGGAGCCGGCCTGAGCCCTTCAACGCAAACCCTTCTTCACAGGCAAAGTCGCAGGTTGAATTCCACACAAAGTTCCCAGAGGCAGGAGAGCACGTCAGGGAGCCATGAGCTGGAACCTTTAAGCCGTCACACTGCACCACTGCAAAGCACAGGAACAGCGCGCAGCTTAGCTTGGAGCAAGCAAAGAGAAAAACGCCCCGTCTGCGAGGTAACAGATCCCACAGTGCCTGGAGCCGGGCGTGGGACAGCGAAGCTGACACCCAGCAGGTGAAGAGTGTGACTGGGGGCCGACAGTTTGGGTGTCTTTGGGGACTCGAAATAAGAGACAGTGGTGGGGTGCAATGTTAGCCTGGGCAGGAAGGAAACGTTGTAACCAAAAGTTGTTTCCCTTTGATGGCTGTTTGAGCGCATCTCTGCAACAAGCATGAGGACCTCAGGCGATGTCTTGCAGAAAGGGGTGTACTCAACTGTCTTCTCCCCAATGGGGCACAGGGTGTAAAGCTGTCGAGGGCAGGGTTAAGGCAATGCCCCTCACCGAACGGTACTTCTTTGGGAACTACGGGAAGCTTGGGACCCAATTCACTTTAAGGATTGAATCTGAAAACAGTGGGCCAGATCCTCTGTTGCTGGGAAGTTGCATTGAGATCAACAGAGTCAGCCTGATTTATGAAAACGTACCTGTGCATGCTGGAGTTGGGGCCGACCAGCTCCCGGAAGAGGTGCACAACACTGGCTCTTCCGTGGGTTCGTAGCCTTCTGCGCACTGAACCTTGCAGGAGGAGTTGTAGCTGAAGTTCTGCAGTGGATGGATGCACTCCAAGGTCCCGTGTTCGGGTTCTTTTAGTCGGTCACACGCCACAACTGCAAAGGAAGGCAAGCAGGCCTAGTGTGAGTGCCACTTTCTCTCCACAGCTACGCTCACCCTCCCACTAGCTAGGCCGGCAGCAAACTGGCTGGCAGCACAGCTGCTTGCTTGGAAGGCAGTGAGAACTCCACTTACCATGCTGGCATTCAGGCCCGTAGAATCCCGCATAACAGAGACAGGTATGATTGTTAATGGTCTCCACGCATTCACCACGGCCACTGCAGGAAGACGCGTTGCAGGAAGCTAGAAGGAAAGTCAGCATGGTTATAAAACAATCTCCCTTCACTCCAGGCTGACCTTATTGAGTCCAGCATGGGTGGTGCTGAACCAAAGAATTTGCCACACCCTGGGCGATCAATATCGTCTAGCGGCATCACCAACACGTCCACTCCTTGCTGGGTGCTTAGAAGACATTTAGTGGCAAATTAGAACTAAAAAACCAGCACAGAACACTGGAAGCCAGGACTGGTGGCTGTAAACAAGTTCTATGGGACCCCAGGACACTTGGCCATGCCCACGATAAGTGGACATGCGACTATCTAAAATCATGCTGAACCCCGGACATTGGGGGACCAGAGAGTGATGAACTAGAGAGGTTCAACTGGTAGTTAATCTGTTTCGAGGCACTGCAGGGCTTTACTTATCCAAGAGAAAACACACGCTGGGTAATAAATACTTTGCAATGTAAACGGAGGGTGAAGGTTAATGCCGTGTGAAATGACAGTGGTTTTTGCATTGCAGCATTTCAGGAACCAAGACTATAGCTATTCACAAAAGTATTTCTCTGGCTGGAAGCAGACTCCCCAGCTTTCCTTCCACCTTTTACCAAAAGTCAAATCACAAAAAGCCATAGACATTCACAAGCTCTGCATTTGAGCACCTACACCCTGATCCATCGGACACTTTGTGTACAACTGGCTTTAAGCATAGGAGTAGCCCTCTGTGATGTAGTGGGGGGCTGTCTGCTCTGTAACCCGGGGTCCTCCTGCGCTGTGATGTGGGATTCCCACTGACCCACCCACATGTGTATTGGCCCAGACACCCAGGCTCAGCCTGGGCAGTTAGCAAAGCTCTTCCCAGGGGGAGAGACAAAGGGAGGGAGGCGGAGAAGAACATCAGGTATAGGGGGAAGCGTTGGGAAACATGACGGGAACAGCCTAAGCTGAGGGCTGAGGGGTTAGGGGCGATGGACCCCCTAACCGCAGGGGTCTGAGGCATCCTGCTGTGCGGGGCTGTATCCTGGAGAAGCAATAACCCCCCTCTATTCTACTGGCTGGCAGAGTCTGTTCTTGCTGCCACGGGGCTGCAGGATCGAGGGGAACCCCGACTGTGCCGTCACACCCTCACATTCTTAAAGTTGGGCAGAGGCATGAGTTTGCAGAATCAGGGCCTGAGATAGTAACGCCTTTTAATGCATCTGCACAGGTTAGGGATCTAGTAAACCTCCACTTTCTTATTAGCACAGAGGCTCTTTGGGAGTGACTGCATTCTGTACCTGTGTAGCACAAGGCAACCTTCTCCTTGCTGCAGCTTTCATCGTTCCATTTCCCAGCATTAGTTGAGTTTTTTTGTTTGATGTAGATTTCTACACAGTCCTCGTCGTTATTTCCATTGTTTGGCTCGCCTTTCGCCCAGTTTTCAGCCTCGGCCGTCAGCTGCTTGTTGGTTCCAATCCAGGTCCACTTATTGTCAATCTTTCTGATTCCAATCCAATAATAGGCTGGATTGTAGGGTAAAGATGCATTCAGATAGGCAATTTCCTCTTTATTCTGAATGGCAACCATGTCTGTGAAGTGTTTCCTACACCAGTCCTTCGCATGCAGAAAAGTCATATTTATTTCTGAATGATGATATGTCCAACAATTGCCCTCCTCAAGCACCATGAGTCCTAGAAAGAGAAGACGCAGAGAATTTGGTACCCTTTTACCTAAGCTTCCTGTTCTGTTATCAAAGGCCTTTTTTCTCCCTTCGTATTATTCTGCATCATGGTGAGCATTTCCAGGAAGAATCTCTCTCTTTGCGAGAACTATTCGCAAAAGACCAGGAGCAGCTAGAACCCGGTTGGTAGCAGAGAGAGTCAAAAACAGAGACAAATCCCAGAATGTTACTAAGAGAAGCAGCGGCAGAGGGAGAGAGGAGAGGAATGAGACCAGCATAGAAATTTAGCCAAAGCATTCAAGGTTTCAGTGTCAAAATGCTCTTCTAAGAGCTTCCAGAAATCATGATTTTGAATTAGGGAATCCTGCCTACATGCCATTTTCTGACAGAGCTTCTATAGCAAATTGGACCTTATTGGTTTTTTCCTAAAGGAGAATCTATCTAGATGCCAGTGGATATTGCATAGGTGCATGTACCTGAGTCTGTGTAGGTATTGGCTGCATTTGCTTTGTACAGAGTCACGTTAGTCCAGCGGTGGACAGCTTGTGCTGCTTATGGCTCCTCATGCCACGCACAAAAAGCAAGGGCACGAGAAGTGAAGTGGCTTCTATTGCAAACACTGACCGTGAGAGCCGTGTGTTCCCTCAGCCTCCAATCAAAGCGCTGCAGTTCAGTCGGCACCCCCCACACATTCGAAGTGCACAAACACAGTTAGCCAAGCCCCTCTATCCCGAGAGGCCGGTGTGGTTATAATCTTGCGGCCCACTGAGATGAAGGAGGGTCGTTCGTGCAGCCCACTCCCTGGTCTAAGTTGGCCATGGCTGCATCAGTCTCCCAAGCAGACATGTCAAGATCAAAGGTAGGATGTCCAGCTCCTAAGGGTGTGTCCAGTCATTGCCCACCCTGGCTGGGAATACTGCACAGACATCCACAGGAGTCTCTTTTGGCTTTGGCATTAAAACGAGGAAGCCCATCCTCGCGTCTACTGTTTTCTGAGCAAATCTGCCCCCTGAAGTTTAACCCTTCTATTGCATCCCTGGTTGCTTCAGAAGAGAGCTGAGAGAAACCAGCCGCTTCCACTCTAACTTCTTTCCCACTCCGATTTACGCTTGCTTACCACAAGTGAGAACAGAGAGGAGCCACAGGCCAATCATGTTTCTGGGGAACTTCTCTTCACTTGGCTCTTTGAAGAGAGGGCTGCAAAAAACAAGCGTGCAGAATTACAGCCCATGGTTTGATCACGGATACACACAACAACGCCCTCTGAATCCGACTTTACTGTCCACAGTACCTTTCCCATCTGCCCTTTTACAAATCACTGTACAGGGTTAAACAGCAAGTGTGTTGTTTAAAGCAGATCGTAATGGTAAGGCAGACTGGAAGTCGAAGTAAACTGCACAAGATATTCGCGTAGTGTTACTTCAGATCTGGCTGACACGGACAGATCATAGCTAAGCTCCCTGAAAGTGAGCTCAGCTAAGATAGGGATGCCTTTGGAAGGATTCGATTTTTATTGGTAAACGTTGATAAATACTGACTTCAAATAAGAAAAATGCTGCATGAGAATTCATTAGACTTTGATTTACGAAGATTGACTCAGTACATTGTTACCTACGATATTGACAACTGGTGTTTTAACTATTATAAGGCTTTAGCTTTTTGAATCTCAATGTTTACTGTCATTAAACAATTATTGATTCGCTCCCCAACAGACACACTTTCTTACTCCCCTCTTACAACTGTGAACGTTTAAACTGATATAATTTGGAGGGAACATGCTTAACGGCAATAGTTTTTTACAACTACGAACATTTAAATCAATAACAAAACTTTAAGAATGATCTGAAATTATTCATCAAACTTAGAAAACTAAAACTTGAATCCTTCCCAGCCCTGAGATGAAATACAACAAAACAATGTGAAAGCCTCAAATACGTACAGACGGTGGTTCTGATGTCCTGGTGCTGTGTAACGGCTTGGTAGAGTGGTTCCTTCTGCCGCTGGTTTCCTTTGATAAGCTGCTGCAGTAGTTCTTGCACTCAGTCTCAGTGTGTGCTCTCTGCCTTCAGCTCGTGCCTCGCAGCCTTTTTGTTCTCTCTCGGCTCCTACTTCCTAGAAATTCCAGTGACGTGGCTAAGAGGATATCTCATAATAAGTGAAAAAGTCCCCAGTAAAGGTAAATCCCTGATGCCAAAACTCACAAAGATACACCCATGTGCCTTCCTCTCCCCGACACATGCCAATACCAGGATGAGAATTTGCTGAGTCCCGGCTCATAGATTTTAATTCAGATGAACACACAATTCCAGGATATCAAGAGAAATTAAACATTCGGACACAACTAATCTTAGCATGTGGGTGAACAGAGTCCTTCCAGCTTTTCTGTTCTCCTGCCTGTGTTTGGTTTTTTTTTGATCATAAAAGGTTTTACATTGCTTGCCCGCACATTGACTTTCCATAGTGCAGTGTTTTTCAGAAATGTAGGAACAAAATCTATCATTTACTGACTTACATAAGTGCTCCAATACATGGGGATGGGCACAGAATGTGTACCAAATAGATGAAAGTGGCATCTTACTAAAAAAGCCATCCTCCATCTCTGTCACATTTCTAGAGGCTTAACATAGTCAAAGCCATTTAGTGGATTTAGATGCAAAACTCCTACTAATTTCAATGGGAATCGTGCATCTAAATCCTCTGGACATTTTGGGAAATCTTAGATAATCTTAGCTGAAACATACAGAAACATATTCAGTATTCCACCCACCTTCTCCTCAAATTCTTCTAGGTGTCATGCATTGTAAATATATTAAAGAGATGTTCATTCTGAGGACTTTGGAGCAGCTGTAAAATTAAGCTGAGCTGAACTTGCAATTAAAGCAGGCGGGTTAAAACTCCTTGTGATGGATGAATAGTTCAGTGTGTCTTCCTCGAACATATCCCAGTCATTCTTTGAGTACGGGAAGAATTGTCGGAAGATCGACAAGTTAATCCATGGATTAGTTTGGGAGCAAAACCATGAGAGTTAGACATCTACCTCCTTAAAAACCTTATAAGATCCCGTCTTTAGATGCTAAGGTGATACTTGCTTCAGAAATGAAAGATAGATAGATAGATAGATAGATAGATAGATAGATAGATAGATAGATAGATAGATAGATAGATAGATAGATAGATAGATAGATAGATAGATAGATAGATAGATAGATAGATAGATAGATAGATAGATAGATAGATAGATAGATAGATAGATAGATAGATAGATAGATAGATAGATAGATAGATAGATAGATAGATAGATAGATAGATAGATAGATAGATAGATAGATAGATAGATAGATAGATAGATAGATAGATAGATAGATAGATAGATAGATAGATAGATAGATAGATAGATAGATAGATAGCCATTGTACCTCAGCAGAAATAAATGTTTAAGAAATAGCCATAGTTTGGTAACTGACCACAATTATCAGTCTTTGACTTTGATAGAGACAGGAAAGATTCAACAGAGAATATAAACTGTGCTGCTCCCAGTCATCATTAATTTCTTTCAGTGACCAGAGCAAAATTATTGGGATAACAAGGCATTTCTTGTACACAATATGCACTTAACATTGGAACTTTCCATTACCATTACAAGGCACTGGGCTAGGACTCAAAGAAAATCTGGGTGCACTTTCTGGCTCTGCTACTGATTCCCTGTACGATCTTAGTCAAGTCACTTAGGCCTGGATCAATTCCACTCAAATCAATTATCAGTGGGGTAGCCCTGTTAGTCTGTATCTGAAAAAAAACAAACCAGTGGGGATCCCTGTGGCACTTTAAAGATTAACGGTACGTCTACACTGTAAGGCTATTTTGGAATACCCCGCATCTTTTGAACGCGTCTGCTACTGTGAAATATAGCGGAGTTGCTATTTTGGCATCCCTGTAAACCTCGTTCCATGAGGGATAAGGGATGTCTCGAAATAGTGTGTCATTTCAAAATAGAATCAAAATAAGATATGCAATTCGCATAGTGCAAAATTGCATATCTTATTTCGAGCTAAGGGTGCAGAATAGATGCACCCTAAGGCTACATCTACACAGCCCAGTCTTGCGCAAGAACATATGCAAATGAGGCACATTGATAAATATCGCTGTGCCTCGTTTGAATATTTAATGAGATGCCATTTTTGCACAAGGGGCTTCTGCGCAAGAAGCAGTCTACGCTGCTCCTTCTTGCGCAAAACCCCCCTCTTGAGCAAGAGCCGTTCTGCCTGAAAATAAGCGGCAGAACGGCTCTTGCGCAAAAACGGCAGCTCATTTGCATATGTTCTTGTGCAAGACTGGGCAGTGTAGACGTAGCCCCCGGGTACAGCTACACAGCAGGGCTAAACTCGAAATAAGCTACGCAACTTGAGCTACGCGAATTGCGTAGCTTACGTCGAAATACCGTATTTCGAATTTGGGCACGTCTGCACAGCATTTATTTCGAAATAGAGCACTCCCTTACTCCTCATACAATGAGGTTTACAGAAGTAGGAGTAAGAAGCCCGTGATTTTGAATGTATTTTGAAACCACGGGCTTGCTGTGCAGATGCACAATATATTATTCCAAAATAACGCTGCTGCATAGATGTACCCTGACAGATTTATTTGGGCATATGCTTTCCTGGGCATGCATCCTATGAAGTGGGTCTTTGCCCATGAAAGCTTACACCCAAATAAATTGGTTTGTCTTTAAGGTGCCACAGGACTTCTTGTTTTTTTTTTTTACTGAACTCAATGGGAATCTTCCATTAGTGCTGTATAAGGTTCAAGATTTCTCTGTGCTTCAGTTCCCCATATATAAATTGGACTAATCATACCTCCTTTTTCCCAGCCTTTGCCTGTCTTGCTTATTTCAACTGTAACCTGTTCAGACCAGGAACGGTCTCTCACGGTGAGTATCTAGTTCATAGTGCAATGGATTTCTGATCTCACCTGGATCTCTAAGTGGAACTGTAAAACAAATCAAGAATAACGATGAGTTGAAGTATGCCCTTCCTGATCATTTACTATTATGTATACAGAGACACAGACCCAGCCAGAAGGGATGCAATACTCTTTAAAGTCAGTGAAAAAATTAAACAAAAAGTATATTTTTTTTCTAACAGTTTTTATGAGCTTCCTACATGGGCAAGGCGCCTAGTGGAAAATTTGATTAGAACAATGCTATTGTTGGTGGACTTACAAGAAGGAAAGAAACTTCAGGAAGGTGTAGACTTGTTAGTTTAACATATCCTTTCCTGCACAGTGGCAGGCCAGACCCCTTGTCTGCAGCCCGAAGCAGGAAAAATATCCCTGTGGCATACAAAAGCCCCTCTCGGGCTGTTTGCTTTGGCTGAATCAACTGCCTCTTTTCGTAACTCCAGGCAATCTGTTTCTGTATATGGCCCACAGAGGACTATTATTAGACCTACTCCTCAAATCATTTCTCTCGCCTCCTTATTTTGTTTTGATCTCAATTTCATATCACAGAAAATCAAACCAACAATAGAAACTTTTTGACAAATCAGAGATGTCAAGGACCTGTGGATCAGGGGTAACATTTTCTAAAACCCCAGAGTGTTTTAGGAAGAGCCAAAGTCCCGTTTTCAAAAGAAACTTACAGACTCATTGACCGTCCGTGAGACTGGGGCTGCTAAGTGTGTACGTTAGTTTTGAAAATGAGACTTCATCTCCTAAATCACTTTGGTGCTTTCTGAACACTCTCCCTCTGGCCTGGTAGGTTTGCTGGAATCCCTGACATTAGTGGCAGAAAAGCCGTTCGGCTTGCCCGTGGCTGAGTATATGTGACTAATTCCTGACTTGTTCTTTCAGTTCTTTTTCCTTTGCCCCCTAATTTGGGACTATAATAAACCACTTTTCTTTGGCAATAAAGAACTAGGGCCTGATATTTCACTCCATTATGGCAGCTTTACACAGGTGAAATTCGGCTGAAAGAGACGGAGCAACACACTGGCATAAAACTGGAGAACTGGGCCCCTGACATGGAGGGTAGGGGCTTCGCTGCTCCACTGTGCAGTAGTGCATGCTGTGGGGTGAGATTTCTAATGCGCACCAACGTGTTGCACATGAATAGGTCTAAGTGGACCCCGTGTACACTTTAATGTAAAGCTGGAACCAGTGCTGTGTTAAACCATACAGTGCGGCCCAGCAAGGCCTACCTGGACCAATTAATGCCTAACACATTAGCGCCCATTAGAAATCACACCCCTGCAGCACACATTGCACCCCCCCCCACCTATCTACACAAGCCCTACATATCTTGAGCTTAGTTTTTAGAAGTGCTGAACTCCTGCAGTTCCCGTGGACTTCAATGCTTCATTTCCACAGAGTGAAATCCTGGCTCTGTTGAAGCCAATGACAAAACTCGCATTGATGTTTATCAGGCTTAGATTTCACCCCCTGTGTCTAAGCAGAGGAGGGACAAATTGCCATCGATTAATTAAACACAGACACCTAACACGTTATAGATCTACCTCACTGTGGGTATGTCTACACTACCACCCTAGTTCGAACTAGGGTGGTAATGTAGGCAACTGGAGTTGCAAATGAAGCCCGGGATTTGAATTTCCCGGGCTTCATTTGCATAAAGCCGGGCGCCGCCATTTTTAAATGTCCGCTAGTGCGGACTCGGTGCCGCGCAGCTACACGCGGCACGGACTAGGTAGTTCGGACTAGGCTTCTTATCTGCTGCCCTGTGACCATTCAGAGACCCATATGTTAATTTAGAAATAAAATCCCATTACCTTAATAATCATTCATTGCGTATTTCCAGGCCAGCACAATCTGCCCCCTCTTTGGGTGACCCATGTGTGCTTGGTGTGTTGTTCTGTCCCCCTCTAGTGACACCTAGATCACCTAGAAATTAATGAGTAGCAGGTTTTAAACTAATAAGCGAAAGTTCTTCTTCACACAGCGCATAGTCAACCTGTGGAACTCCTTGCCAGAGGAGGCTGTGAAGGCTAGAACTATAACAGAGTTTAAAGAGAAGCTAGATAAATTCATCGAGGTTAGGTCCATAAAAGGCTATTAGCCAGGGGGTAGGAATGGTGTCTCTGGCCTCTGTTTGTCCGGGGTCCCTGGTGTTAGCCACTGTCGGCAGACAGGCTACTGGGCTAGATGGACCTTTGGTCTGACCCAGTACGACCGTTCTTATGTTCTTAAACTCATGAGCCTGCTACAGCCTTAGCTAAGTGGTATGTAGTGTTTTGCTTGTGCAGTAAAAGCTCACACATTAAGACCACAGGTCGATCCCGCCCTGCCAACAACCAGGGTCTGTTATTATTACATTTGCATTGCTCAAGCTGCACAAGATAGCCAGGTTGTGGCTGTAAAAGTCTGACAGTGAATTCTTCCACTGGAAGGGAATGATCTGGTGGCATAAACCTTGTTTGCACTCCTGCACCAGCTACCCCCAAGCTGGCAGCCAGGGCACGCCATGGAAAAGTGGGTACTGAGCAGAGTTCTGCTTAGGCCCTTTTGCTGGTGGAGGGCTGGTTTTAAGAGGCGAGACTGCCACAGAATCAAGGAGCCACCGGCTTCCTGATGCCCCCTACCCTTTCCTGCACCGAGCAGGACTCAGAGTTGGAGGCGTGAGCTGTCTCTGTCCTCGTAGAGAAGGAATTCCCAGGAATCTCCGTGCAAATAGGGGGAAAGGAAGGCAGCAGCCTGAAGATGTTTCCTGTTTGGTGAGTTTCAGCATAACCTTTAACATTATTACTTTGAAGGGTTCCTTTTGTTTTTAAAAGGGGGAAAAAAATGGAAAACTGGTGCTGGCACTTTCCCCGGAGATCTTTCCTGCAAACAGAGAGGGAGGGCTTCTGAGAGACAGTGTGTCATCCCACTTCGCATTACACTGGGAAAAGCAAAGAGGGGCATGAAAACAATCCGACTGAAGGAATTTTTCTGGTTGTGCAAGACAGTCTCCAGTCTGTCTGGCTCGAGGCACTAAATGCATGAAATAATTGGTCACCCTTTCTAGTGCCCGGAATTCTCTGCCTGGTGACACCTTGGGTGACTCAGACAAGAGTCTGACTCCTCCGAAGAGATAGTAATAGACACCCCCGCACCAACCTGAGACCAGGGTTCATCCTCGCTGGAGACCTTGGAGTCCTCTAGGCGGCTGCAGTAGGCTGAACAAAGGAGCAGAGGAAATGTACTTGGCAAAAGGACAGGGGCTTACTAACATCTTTTTAAATCAAAGCTGGCTGCTACCACTAGATTTACCTGCATCTCCTCAGATACTGGTGATCACAGCTCCCCTTGTGTCAGCCGACAGTCAGGGCAGTGTGTGTGTCTGTGTGTGTGTGTTACCGAGAAAAGGTTTAGCGTCTGTGTCTTTACCGCTAGGACCGGGGTCCCGTAGCAGAGGGCAGCCAACAGGCTGACAGATGCCCCAAGTTTATAGGGAGAGCTTATTACATCTCAGATTTCAACTGCTAGGATACAGGATCCCTGTGCAGCAGGCAGTCTAGGGAAGACTGAGAGATGCCCCAACGGATCTGTCCCCTGGAAGGGACATGATCCAAAATGCCCAAGTTCTTCCGATACCTGTCCCTTATGACCGGCTGAAGTTCTTTTAAATTGTGCTTGGTTCTGTTACAGCCACTGAAGGAGTCAGGTTAAAGCTTAAGCAGTTACAGGTTTATTAAAGAAGCTTATAAATCATATGGTTACAATGGCTATTGCTCTATTTCTTAACTGCTAGCAAATATAGATCTTAAAAATGGTTACAAAGAAATAAAGATAGAAAATAGAAATAATGGTACCAAGTGACAACTTAATCTTTAAAGAGCTCTAAGTCTATGTGCACACTTAAGACAAAGGACCACATCCAGGTACAATTTTTACCCCCTTCTGTGCATCTCAACTCCAGTGGGTCAGACCAGGGCCGGTCCCTCAATTCCTAGGAAAGACGAATACGAGGTGGGCGTCCCCGTGGAACCTCGGGAGGTCAATCACCTAACCCGACCAGCAGATAGATGGTAGATTGACACTCAGAGTAAGTGTGCTGCTGGACCCATCTTTATACCCATAGGGGCCCGTATCCTCTTTCTTATCTAAGATGCCAAATTGTACTGGTTTGTCTTTGTGGCACCAGTTCTTACAAGCGAGTTTCAATTTAATTTACACTTGCAAGAGAGATAACTAAATTGTGAGTACTGGACATTTTTTTTTACTGGGCGGGAGATTCCTCCCCCCGCGGATGGCTGTGTGTTCGTATCAATATGGGTTTCAGTCAACGGCCCTCCTTGGCAGCCTCTTGGTCAGCAATTGGCGTATCTCTGTTTACAGCCCTCCAGGGTCACTGAGCCTGCATATCTGGGCCTCCTGTTCAAGGCTTTTACTGCTCTGTGTGCCCTGCATGCTCCAGGCAAGCAAAGATGGATGTTACAGCAGGGTTCCTGTCTGGCTACACCTTGGTCGGGACCCGCGATCCACGGCCAGTAGGTGCTGTGATGCCCGTACCTGTGGAGGCACAAGTAAATATGGCAGTGTTCAGCCTGCCTGAGACCAACCCTGGCATACCAGACCACGGGATTTGCCCAACCCCGTTTTAAATAAAAGATTGTACTTCTGGATACGTGCCAGGTGCCATCTGCTCTGCAGCAAATAGGATCTTAATTCTGTGACTAGATCTCTTTTTTCTCTCTCTACCTCCACCGATGAGAATTCCAGATCCAATCTGAGTCCTGGACCGCCTCTAAAAGGTCTTTAGTAGGATGCAGTTTGGGTTCTAACAGGCCATCTTCCTACCCAAGCAGCCATGATCACTGGGAACTTGGCAACTTTCAAGGCCAGGGTAAAACTGGCAGGAGTCAATGGCTAAAATGTGTTTGTGCTGGGCCATAAACCATGGAACTGGTCCCTACCAGAAGAGCTCAGAAGGAGCATATGCCTCACCAAGCTGAGAAACACGTATCTGATCCATCTCTGCATGCAGCGTGTCCCCA